TGCCCGACATTTGTTGAAAAAAATGAAAAAATCTTGAAACCGATTGTAATACCTAGGGCTAATGAACTCTATATAATAGATTTTTTAAGCCAACTGTTGGAAACAAAATTTCAGAACAATCAAACTAACCAGAAAAATAATCGACATCATAATTATAGACATAGAGAATTAGTTGAATTGTATCAAATAAAGGTGTAAGTATTTATTGTTAAAGACTTGTGAAACAATACAAGTAAAAAAAGGAATATTCAGAAGCACTATTCATGATCAACATAGATCTTTATTTGAAATTGAATGAAAACCAATTCTCACTAACATTAAAGATGATCAACTGACATTAAAATAATGCAAGCCTAATTTATAATTGTATTGCAATAAATAATACAGTTGACTTTGAATAAAATGAACCTCTATATAATGAACTCTGGGTATACAAATACAAAAATTTAAAATTTCATAGTAGCTCGGATAGAAAGTGCCAGAGTTTTTATAGCGAACTTTTTTTTTCCTGCCAGAACCGTTAGTCATTATAGAAATCATTATCCAAACACTTGAATAAATTAAAATGTTATTCATCACAAATATATCTATGAATATAAAAATTGTACATTGTAATTTAGTTAACAAATTTCATAATCAAATACTGGGAGATTAGGTATAAGATGAAGAATCTTAAGAAATAAATATTTTTGTAAAATAGTCACCTATAATTAAGTATTTAAATCATTAAAATAATAACTTGAATATAAGACTTCTAAGATCAAGACTTACATCAAATATCTTTTGAGTTCTTTCATTCATAATTCCCTATAAATCATGTCCTAGAATTATATATAAATCTCACCTATAATTAAGTATTTAAATTATTATTAAAATAATAACTTGAACATAAGACTTTTAAGATCAAAACTCACATCAAATGTCTTTTAAGTTCTTTTATTCATAATTCTCTATAAATCATGTCCTAGAAGTATATATAGATCTCATCTATAATTAAGTATTTAAATCATTATTAAAATAATAACTTGAATATAAGACTTCTAAGATCAAGACTCATATCGAATGTCTTTTGAGTTCTTTCGTTCATAATTCTCTATAAATCATGTCCTAGAATTATATGTAGATCTTACCTACAATTAAGTATTTAAATCATTATTAAAATAATAACTTGAATATAAGACTTCTAAGATCAAGACTCACATCG